GAAATACTTCTTTTTTAACTTCTTTGATTTCTTGCTTTAAGTCTAAAATAGAAGGTTCTTTTTGTTGAAAAGTATGTTGTTCACTTACTCTTTTCATAATAGAAGCAAAATTGTATTCATCAGGTGTTTTATTTATTGGAGGTGTCTTTGCTTTTGTTTTAGCTATTGTAATAAATTTGGTGATGACAGATCTTTTTTCCTCTGGATCTGTAATTTTCTCAATAATATCTAATATTAAATTATCTTCTTGAGTAAGCATATGAAGATTATGTGTAGGTATAGGGCAACTACAATTAGTATCTTTTATTGGATTGGATGATTCTGTGTCTGTCGAAGAATCTGAAGAATCAGATGATTCTGTCCATAAAAGGTCATCATCCTGAATATGTTCTATATGTGAGTCAGTAGAATCTGAAGATATTGAATCATAGTTGATTATTTTATATAATTTTGATTTAATTGAATAATCTAAATGTAATGATTCTATTTTCTTTTTTAATTTGCATTGGTGTTTGTAATGACCAACTTTTCCACATTTATAACATACTGGAAGTTTCTTTTTATTCTTTGTATTTGGAGAAAATTTATTTATAAATTTTTGTTTAGACTTTTTATATTGTTTATGTATTTTATTTGATTTATATTTGTCTTTTTTATATTTTTTCTTTTTCTTATATAACTTTTCAGGCATATTTTTCCTATCTATATGGTATTCAAATTGTTCACAAAAATCACCAAGTTCTTTACGCTTGGTAATTTGTTGTTTATCTAACTGTCTTTTTAGTTTAAGATCAGTACATAAAGCTAATCCTTCAGCACATATTTCTGCTGAGAGTTCTCCAAGTGTATAGGCTGAATATACTATAATTCCATTATGTTTCTTTCTAAGTCTATCTTTGACTTTTTCTGTCAAATAAATAGGGTAGACCAGCAATAAATTTTTTTTGATTTTGTTCATTCCTGGTGGTCCATTTTCCTGTATTAGTAAGGATTCTATTTTTAGTTTCATCATCAACATAGAAATCCCACCATCCTCTTAACCAGCCAGTGAATCCATTAACTATTGCTTTAGCAACCTCTTGGTCTGGGTTGCCTGTCATTTTGTTTGCAGACGCAAACATTGTCATGTGTCTCATGACATCTAATATTTTTAATTCAGATAAACCATCTATTGTCCAATTAACTATTGATCTCCTGAATAGAAAACAACTTGTTGTATGGCATCTTCTTCAAGTTGGATATCAACAGGTGTAGCTCTCTTATAGTATGGTAAAGCTGTTATTGGTTTCCAAGTTTTACCATAGGCTATTCTGTTTATATCAATAGGTGTAGTATCCATAAAAGCATTTTCTTGGTTTTGTATAGTATCTTTAATAATTGGTTCTACTTCTTGGAGCATCATTGTTTCATGCTCTGGTATTTTGGATTTTCCTTTATCTGAAGATTCTGGTAATGGACCAGGTATATTTGGTGTGGGAATACTGAGTTTGGGAGAAGGAATTCCTTTTATGTCTAATTGAGATAATTTGGCTAATAACTGATCCATTAAGGTTTTATTATTTTCACCAATATGAAATTTATTTTTATTCAGCTCTGGAGGTGGTTTGAACAGGACTGCTTTAGGAAGGGAAGGAGTTACCTCCTTCGAGACTAATCTCTCTATACATTCTGCCTGTTTTCCTAAAGACTGCATATATAGATTAGTATAATTGTTTTGTTCCACAATATGGGGAATAAGTTCCTGTTTTTTACCTATTTCTTTGGGTAATACTTTATATGGTGTGGCAATTATATCATATAAAGATTGTGGTGGTTCTCCTTTACTTGATGGGGTTACTCCTTTGAGTATTATACTTTTTTCAGGAGGGTGTGTACTAGCAGTAGTAGTACCATCCGTGCTGATATATGTTTTTTCTTCTAAAGTTTGAAGATTATCGAATGAAAGAATATTTATTTTATATTGAATACATATTTCTTTTAACCATATAAAAAATCTTTTTGTTTCTCTTTCTTTTTTGAGGAATTTATTGTATTTTTTATGTATTAATTCTATTAATCTAGGTTGAAAGGTTTGAAGATACCATTTTCTAATATTTTGATTTTCTACAGAAAGATAATCTTTTTTAAGATATTCAATATTGATTTTCTTCTTTTTTCGTTCTAATTTAGCGGCTAAATATGCTGCTATATATTCATCATCATATGTATTATTAGTATTTATCTCTTCTTCTATGTCATTTTCTATTTGTAATGTTAGTATTTGAAATTCCTCTATATTAGGTTCAGGAATATATGTAGGAAGAACTACATGATCAGTCGTTCTTCTTACTCCTTGTAGTTGGAATTCTGAAGATGGTGTAGGTTGTGAAGTAGAAGGAAGTATGATGACATCAGGAGTAGTATGACAGGATTTTCTAGCAGGTATTAATAGTTTTTTATTTGTTTTCCTATTAATATCTATATCATCCTTGACTTTAGATTGTTGGAATTTTATTTCAATATTTCCATCTGGATGTTCAATTATTTGATTTGGAATATTATTTCTAGGTGCTTCTTGGGGTTGGTTTGCATGTTGTAATGCCCAAGACTAGGGCAAAATAATATCGGACCAAGTAATTGTTTTGGGTACAATTGTATGTGATTTTTTTATATTTGTTTGAAATAATATAGTTTGATCTTTTTTGTCAACTTGCATACTATTAGGACAAAGGGTATTCATTACTTTGTAATAAATTCTACATACTATTGCTAAATTATGAGAACCATGCATCATATTAAATCCATGAGTTTTCAAATTTATAGCTAATATATCTAATATGTTTGGATCTGTTAAAAAATAGAAAAATTTGGAAAACAATTAAAATATATTGGTCCACTACATAGGCTGGATTCTGCCATACTTAGGAGTGCATCTGCAAAGTTATTGTGTCTTGTATCTCATAGGCATACAAGCACAGAAGTGTTTAACCCTAGTCGGGTTAAAGGTTTAATGGCTATTTGGATTAACCCAATGTGTAAATATTTATAATTATTGTCTTTATGTTTTTTCAATAATTTTTCTTGATAGTAGTTGAAAGTCTTCTTATATATATATATATATATATATAAAATACTATACAACGCCTATAGGTGAAAATGAACAGTGATTTCGCCTATGCACATCACCGTCTAAAGTTCATCGCACGGTCATAGTTATCTGGAAGTATTTCAATTTTTATTTTTTTTCTACAAATCAGAATAAACTAAAATTTGAAGCATGTGGTCATCAAAAATAGAAGAATCTAACAAAAATATAAAAATAATAATTCGTAAGTATAAATTGACCAAAATACTCTTAAATTTTGACGAGGTATTTTGGTCTATTTATGTTTTACGAATTATTTTTTTCATATTTTTATTAAGTGCGCCTCACTAAGATGTACACACACTCCAAATTTCAAGTAATTTGGATTTATAGAAAACAAATAAAAATTGAAACACTATTAAACAACTGTGATCGTACGATGAAATTTGAATCGTGATGAAGATAAACAAAATTACACTTATATTCGTGTTTTCGCCTATAGACAATATAATAGTTTTCTTTTATATATATATATATATATGGATAATGATTACATACAATAGTTATATCGTAGTATAATGCTAACGACATTTCTAAACTTACGGTAGCCATAGCTAGTAGCCATCTGGCATTTGCAGAGGGCTTGACATCTCACGTCTTTCACTCTGGGAAAGACCCCCTCTCTCTCTGATGTCTCTCACGATGGCAACTCTCTCTCTCTCTCCTACTACCACTCTCCCACCCTCTCTCTCTCCACCCAAACTTGACGGCTCTCTCTCTCTCCTGCTGCTCATTGCTCCAATACAGTAGCCATATGACTCTCATCCCTTTCCTGACTATGGCGAGCCCCTCTCTCTCAAACCCTCGATGACCCTCTCTCACAAACCCTCGCTGGCCCGCTGCCCCTCTCTCTCAATCTCTTTGAAACTCGCACTTCTCTCTTCGGCCTACCCCTCTCCGCCCCTCTCTATACATCTCTCGCTCCCCTCTCTCTCAATCTCCCTCTATCCCCGTCTCACTCTCTAGAAATACAACTTAGAACTCTGAAAATTTCTTAAATTTCACAAATTTTCTATGCTCCATTGCTACTGCGAAGACGATTGGGACAATCTTCGGTAGATTGAGGTTCATCCGAGGTTCAGGTACGCTATCGTTTAATCTTTGCATTTCGATTTTGTTTGTTCCATTTTGGGTTTTGGGGGTTTTGGTTTTCCAGTCGTTGAATGTGTTACTGTGAATAGATACAGAGCAACAAAACTATGGTCATAAAAATTCTGTACGCATTAATATATTACAATTTCAATAAACTGCAAGAATGAACTGAGAGGTTAAGTGATAGAATTCCTAACCAAAATCATGAAACATAGAAGTGAACATTTCCCACCTGCCTTGGCACAGCTGAACTGTCCATAGCTCATAAAATTGTCGACAGTAGCACCAATTCCATTGACAAACTATCCAGGTCTCCCAAGCAAATGTGCAGGTACTATAAACTCAATTTTGATGAAATCGACTAAGGAAACCAAAACCGTCAATTTTGATGAAAATGACTTAGGAAACCAAAACCATCTAAGGTGCTGAAGTCACTAAGGAAACCAAAACCATCCCTCTACTTCTTCTCACTGTGAAAGAAATGACAATGGCTAAGTGACAAGCATAGCCTGTAGTTATTGGTATCTACTTGAGACCACACCAAGATTTAGTTAGTATGCATGAAGGTTATGATTAACAAACCTTTGTGACTCCTCTGCAATTAACCTCCATCAAGTTCTTTTTGGGTCCCCTCTCTCTCAATGTCCCTCTCTCTTGAAAAATGCAACCTAAAACACAGAAATTTTTTGAAATTTCTAAAACATATTGTGCTCCATTGTTGCTACAAAGATGATTGGGGCAATCTTCAGTAGATTTGAGGTTCATCCGAGGTTCAGGTACGCTATCTTTCAATATTTTCCCTATTATTGCTTTAGTTTGAATTCTAAAGTCAATCTCTTTATGTTTTTAGGATATCTTTGAATATGTTTTAGTGCTTTTTTTTTTATCTTTATTTTTTTAGAATACTATGTTAGTGCGTTATTTTGATTTTTACATGTGATATCAATCTTTTGTTTTGGGTTTTGGGGGTTTTGGTTGTCTTTGTGCTTATCACAAGCTTTACTCTGAGATTTGTTCTCAATATGATAAAACAAGTTTTCTTTTTTATTTGGGTCTGGTATGTGGAGGTATTGGTTGCAATTTCTTCTTTTCCTTTCGTGGCATATGTTTTACCTTCCTTCCCCCACCCACTTCCTAGGAGTTGAGCAGTCGCCTGGTTATATCAGGTCTCTTTTCCTAACTTATAGAAAATTTAAAGAAATATAGGTCCTACTTCTCTAATTTGTATTGTTGTCTCATTCTCATCATACTATTTTTCATGAAAATCTCAACACAAATCTGTGGGTAAGTTTTCTTTTTCTTCCTAGCTTCTCATGTAATGTACTGCACATTATGCAATCATGCTCATCATAAGTTTATCTCACCCAGTCATACTTATTAACAGAGATTACTCGTCTTTGAAGCTTTTTGGTATCTTTAACTTGCATTACCTGTAAACTGATTATGATTTTTTTTGTTTTGTTCTACTTTGTAAGGAAATATTCATGTTGTCAGCTGCTAATTAATAACAACTTAACTTAAAAATTTTTGGAAAATTTGCGTGAAACCTGCATGTACCATGCCAAGGTGTTTTCTTTCATTCATACAATTTTTTTAAGTGTTTCTTGAGTTATAGTCACCAAAATTTGGTAATTTCCATATAGGCTGCCCTTTGAAGTGGAGATTCTGAGTTTGCTACTGGGATAGCAGCTATATCTACCATAGGCAATGTAAAACGCAAAAAATAACAACGCAAAAAATAACTTTCACTTATGATCTTTCAAGTGAAGAAGTATTTTTGGGTTCTGAAGAACATGTGTATACTTGTTACTGATCGAATGCATAAGAGGTTGGGATAGAGAATTACTTGAATAATCAATACCTAATATGAACACATGCACCAGAATGCATAAGAGGTTGGGATAGAGAATTACTTGAATAATCAATACCTAATATGAACACATGCACCAATTTTTTACTGTGTCCACACATCATAAATTGACATTGTAACATCATAATTTTATAATGTAAAGTGTTGAGAGCTTTATGCATGAATTTAACTATTTGTGTTTCATATGGTTTTGATGAAATTCTATATAGTATTCTTTTTTTTTCTTTTCTTTTCTTTTTAGAATAGTAACGATGAAGTTCTTCATAGTTCTCGTCACTTCTATGTAGAATGAATCTCGACAACCAGTTCCCACCATGGTTTTGTAAACACAGACCACAATGTGGTCGAATGCACATCTTTATCGTAAAAACACGAGATAACTACAATAGACCTTTCTACAAATGCTCCAACTGGAAGGTATGTGACATTCATTCATCAATAATGTAAAAGCACATCGTTCAATGAAGTGGGATGCGGCCATCTAGTGTGATGTGACGAGATACTAGGCCAAGATAGGAAACCCATGGTCAGAAACCCTTTATATGTTTATGTTAACCACTAGAATGAAGTGGAATGCGGCCATCTAGTGTGGTGTGACAAGATCCTAGGCCAAAATAGGAAACCCATGGTCAAAAAGCTCGTGTCACAGAGGCCAGATGTTGGTATCACTAATGGCATACATCCTGCTCATATGCCAGATGTTGGTATCACTAAAGGCGTACATCTTGCTCGGATGTTGGTATCACTGATGGAGTACATCCTGCTCTATATGAAGAAAAGAAGCTCAAAGTTGTTGCTATGGTCCCCGAGAAAGTAGTTATTGTAAAATTTATTATTATTATTATAAGCGGAATTGTTCTTATATTGCTGATGTTCGCCATTCCTTTTCTTTTGAAAGGAACGGGTATTTGTTTCATGGTATCATTACAACTGTAATGCAGTTGTCATATATCTCTTTCTTATTTGGTGATGTATTGTAATATGGTTAGTAGGTTAAAAAATATTATTACAATTGTAGTTATTATGAATCAAATACGCTTTTTTCTCTCTCTTAATTGAGGGATAAATCAAATACGCTTTTTTCTCTCTTAATTGAGGGGTGGAAGAATAATATCCCTATCGTTTTGATCCTTCCATCCAACAATAGAGATCAAATGTGGCGGTATACGAACTTAAAAAACATCTAAAAGTGACATACACAACAACTCCCATAATCAATTATCATTGCACGTTGCAACACCCATTATTTCCTAACTGCATACACTGATACTTAATAGAAGAAAAGTTAGAATGGGCACTGATGTTTTGTAATAAGCAGTTTTCCTTCCTTTAAAAAAGTCCAATACGGATGTCATATCCAGAAGCCATGCAATGCACTCCCCAAGCATAGTGAGCAGTTATACAACTCAATTATCATTACACGAATGTGAATGGCATTTGAATGGACAATAATTTTATGGAGGACAAGCACTCTTGCAACTCGACACTTGAGAACTAAACGTGAGGTGCACATATGAACATTGCACAAATTTGATTGTTATAAGAGAGAATATCAATGTTATAGACAAGATTCATTGCAATACTGAAATTACAGTCACATTGAAGGGAAACATTTGATCCCGAATATGACAAGTGTAATATCCTCATTTCTTTCCTTTCTAGGTGCCCATGATGCCGACATATCCAGAAACGTGTACCCACACAATGAACATGTATTCTATAATGTTCATTTATAAAGTGCATACAACAAAAAAAGGCAAAATCGATATCTTGAGTCCGCAACTGCACATTGAAAAAGCCAAATAGACATCTTGAGTCCGCAACAGAAAATTGAAAAAGCCAAAATAGACATCTTGAGTTTGCAGCAACAAATTTCTTCCTAGTGTTCCCTGAGATGGTTGAGAACCATCTGCTCTTGTATGCATCAATGACGATCACTTTATTGCTTTCCACCAATTTGCTGATCATTTTGTTACACCCAACCAAATTCACAAAACCACATTGTATTTCAATAATCATATTCATGTTCTATAAATTTTGCAATCAATAACAAGCAATCATTGACAATTCAAACATTAAACCTGGGTTGTATCCAATAAAAGGTAGCTATACAAGACAGGAAAATTAAAGGGTTGTAGATGGACAAAATAAGATAGTCTAGACGATAAAAGGTAGCTATACAAGACAGGATATCCAAACAGTATGATTACTAGTCTTTATGTTCTTTAAAAGCACTCAAGCAATATTTTATAGTTAATACAGATGATTGCAGCAATGAACACCTCTTAGGCTGTTAATGCAATTGAATTCTTAACCATTAATTAGTGAGGAGGCAACTAACTCCCAAGTCTAAACAAGAAGTTTATTTATTGAGGAAGATTTGGTAATTTCAAATATTTTCATACAAATAAAGGGCTGAAAAATATTAAAACATTCTTAATGAAGTGACACAGAAGAACTAAGGATCAAGCAGGACTACATAAGAGCTTCAAGAAGAAAACTATCCCGGGCAAGGGAAACTTTTGATCAGCAGTGGAAAGATGGTTTGCATATGACATAGCTCTGTCATCAAGAAGTGAATGCTCATTAGCATCAAAACTTTATGATTTTCATATAGACCCACAAGCTATAAAAAAGAAAAGCATTATTATGTTAAGAATATTCCACTGATTGAAAGTAGATGAGCTACATAAGCACAAATAAGGATGTCTATGCAACAATAATGCCCCTGAAACCGATGGTACCAAGTAGATTTCTAATGGACGATCATCGTTCACTACATCTGCATCACTTCCTAAGAGTTTCTGGTAACCAAGGAATGGAAAAATCAACTTTAAATAAAATTCCACCATGCTCATTGAAGCCATATCTACCCAATTGAAGTGACCATAGATTGCAATAGATATAAGAAAGTAACATCCCAAGCATATCTTGTGAGTAGCCCATAGAAGCGAAAAATAACTGCTAGCTTAAAAGGAATATAAATGATATATGTTCAGATACATTCATACATATATGAACAGAGCATTTAAAATTGACATCTTGTTGTTACATTGGATCCACGAAAAGAGAATACAAATCCGATATATGGGTACTTTAATTGGTACAAAATCATTGTAAACACTCACCAAGATCCTTATGGGTCAAATAGTTTCTAGCATCCACATTGGTCCAAATGATAGTCAACAGAAGAAGAAACAAAAACCTTGTTCTCACACCCATTCGGCCTGTAATAAAAATAAGAAAAGGAAATTAAACCATCTTCCTAATAATACCCTTAATTAGAGAACAAAAAGCTATTACACTTAACTAGTAGCATTTAATATCCATTAAAAAATTATTTTACAAACGAAAAAGATATGCCTGCCAAGCCAACAAAAAATTGTAACATAAAGGAAAGAAAAGATACAAGAGAACTTGATCCATGTTTTTCTGTCTTGTCTAAGAGTCTTTCGAAAATGGAGACGCATGAACAGAAACCCAGATCCCACATTTAAAGGACAAATTAATGCAGGCCTAGTACTAAAATGTCAGTACCAATTCATGAGATTACATGTGCCTAGACAATGAAGGACAAAAAAGGTTTATCGGATAGATGAACATTTGCATTCTTGTTTCTCAATATAAAAAAGAAAATAAAAACCAACATTGCTATGATCCAGGACTATAATCAAAGACAAGCAGTTCGACAAACTGACATGCTAAGACTCCTTAGCTATTGCCAAACAAGACATCTCCAATTCATGTTTAAAACTTCTCTTCGATAGTTCAGTTGTAGTACCAAAGAGGACATCTATCTCCCAAGATGTTGAATGCAGACCCTAAAGGGAGTGTTGGATAACATGGAAACCAATCCCTACAATCAATTACTATACAAGTATTTACAGGTGCTTCAAAAATTAAAGGGTTTACAGATAAACACTTTAATAGCAGCTTCTAATTTGGTATCATATGACCATCTTATTCAGCAATATCCACAACATCAAAACCAAACCCTACAATCAATCACTATACAACTAGCAAGCAATCACTACAATTCATAGTTCTCCTTACGATCAATGGTTTTCTTCGGCATTCCTAGCAGACCGTTCGGCACATTTTGTCAGCAAACCTGAAGAAGGTAGACAATTTGCACTGTTAGCATTTCATATTACATTTAAAAGTTCTACAATTATAAGTAAGCTATACTACATCCAGAATTAAAAGCTTGTACAATGAAAATTCAAGATGGTATGCATTATTACTTTGCATGAATGAATGATGGACAATTTCTTTTGTCGTGCCCACTGCCCTTGCAAATTGCACACTTCCTGGTATTTTCCTTCGACTTTTTGGCATTTTCTTTCAGCTTCTTGGTATCCTTTGGCTTCCACCCTTCTGATCGCGCTTTCTTTCTTTTATTGTAGGTCTTCCCTTTGTCCGTGCTTATGGAGGCTCAAGGATATTTTGGCAATTGTCACTTTCAATTGGTGTGTCACTACAACTAGCTGCATTCTCATCGATATTAGCATTCGCTTCAACATTACCATTCTCTTCAGCATTACAATTGATTGTGGCGTCATTTTGTGGACCTCCCTTACGCCCAAACTGGCTATCAACCTGACAAATTCTGTTGCGTATTATGGCCATTATAAATTCATGGAGCTCCGCACTCTCTGAAGCACGCTCGGCGAGGTATCAAGTTGCCGGATAGACCTCGTTATATCGAGTGGAGCATGGTAGTTGAGTTGTTTCTTGAATTTGATTGCCACTATATCATTTCTCCAACGTCTCATTATATATTGTGGGGGTATTTCAAATATATTATTCACCATAAAAACCTTCAACACATGCCTACAAAGAAGACCCATCCTCTCATATAAGTGACATCTGCAACAAACGCTCTTGTCATTGGAATTGAATTCGACAAGGTTCTTGGTGTTGCTACCTTAAAAGTGGCAAGCAATCTATTGTCCTCAATTACCTCGCTCATCCAATTAATACAATCACCACCTCTTCCCCAAATAGATTCATAATCTTTTGAGTATAGATCTTTGCTGCCTGGGCCTCAATAAAAGAAGTTGTTCTTAATATTAGAGTAGTATTAATGTCTCTTAAGCCATTTTCCCTTTCTTTTCGCACTTTCATATCTTGCACCTTTGCAGTCACTTCTAATAATATACGTAAGCATGATGAAGAGGCTACATATGTGTCGAAATGTTTATTCATCCCTTCACTCCTTTGAGTGGAAGTCATACCCATTGTAAACATGTCACTCAAGTATGCATCGACCCATTGCATGCGACAACTATAGAGCCTAGTAAGTCACTCATTACTTTCCAGCCCATAATTCTCAATCATATCTTTCCACCCCAATTCAAATTCTTCCACTGTTGCACTAGCCACACACCTCCTGAAGCTTTTTGAAAAATTTGGATGCATACGCAGATATGGCACACTTTTTCTTTAATCTTTAATATTATATGCCACTTGCAATAATAATGCTTACTTTGGTCTAAACTTATCTCATTGCATTCGAAATTGTATGGTCTTGATCAACGAGAATAACTCCAAGCTGATGTCCCCCCATAGCTTCTAACCAATTTTCAAATATCCATATAAATGATTCAACTTTCTTAAAAAATGAGTGCAAATCCAAATAAAGTTGTACTGTGATGGTGATTTACACCAAGAATGAGTGCAAATGGCATACCATAGGTGTTTGTTTTGTATGTGGTATCAAAAGTTACACATCAGAGAAGCACTAGTACGAAACGCAAGAAAAGGCATCTACCCATAAGATGCTCAGGATGTGAAGTCAATCACATTATCTAATTTCACTCTATAAAAAGAAGATGGGTTCAATTCTTTCATTTTATAAATCATTGCATAACAAACTTCCATCTTCTCCTCTTAGCTTTCTTCTGGAGTTGGCGATTACATTTTGGATGTCTTTTTGTGTACAATAAACATTATCAATCCCTCCAGATTGCTCTATGAAAATGTCATGAATATTTATGGCCCTCACCAATGCCGAACTCATTGAACCTATCATCAACTTTGTAGCGCCTGACACTGTTCGATGTGAGCGAATTAAACAAGCTTTTCTTGAAGACAAAAGATCGTGATTGTGTTTCGTAACAGTCCTAGTAACAACCCACTCATTATTTGCATTTCTACTTAGGCCCATCCTAGCCATACAACCATACCTTGATTCAGAGTGTACCTTTGCACCTACCCGATCTTTCTCACGGCGAAACCCTTCCTTAAAACAATTAAGCTCTCTATCAATCATTGGACCATCTTTATTGAGGGTAGTCCCTTTACGAACGCCAAAACCTTTGACTAATGCATACTCCTTATAATACTCATATGCTTCATTCTCATAACCAAACTTCATCCCCATATATGGTTTTTCTATTTGTAGGCCCTTGGTTGATGAGTCATGTTCCCCATCTCGCATTTCTATAAGATAAGGACCTGCTCCATGGTCTTAATGGTGTCATTTGTGTTGTCTACAATTGGGCACGGGGAAGATATCACACCAACTGATAAGGTAGGGTCCATATAAATCTTTCAATTGACCCTACATAAAAAAACAAACCACATAAGTTGATGTCTGCAAATATTGTCTGCAAAAATCAATTGAGTTGTCCTATCAAAACACTATATATACAAACATCACAAAAAAATAACCATAACAGATTGTCTATGGAAGTTTTAAAAATGTTTTTAACCAAACAAACAATAAAGTAAGATGAGTCAATACTTTACAAATTTTTTGATATCTTGTTGGACTATCTAATTCACTTTCAAAAGCTTATAATTGCCTGTTTGGCTTAGTAATAGATCAAAAAGATGAGCAACTAAGTCACCATTTCAATTTATGATGTTTGGATGCAGTAGAAAACTGGTGCATGCGTTCATATTGATGAGGGAAATGCATAGTTGGTGGAAGGACTGATTGGGAAAGGTTTTTCAAGGAACACACAATCGAAATCTATGTGCAAAAGTTCGGTCTTGTCTAATGTCATGTCCTGCATTTTCATTAAAGCATCTCTTATATGCTTTTCTGAATAATAAAAAGGCGGATTAAATCTATGTAAAAGTAACCATGATACAAAAGGAATGTCACCTATGGATGTACTCATTATGGATGTTCTAAATTCATAAATAAAATAATCAGGGCAAAGGATCAATTACTAGCCTCTACAAAAGTGATGTTACAGTAAATGCACGGACATAGTTATGATAAAGAAGATTAGAAAAAGGAATAGAGAAGAGGAATGCAGTTAGTATTTTTGGACTGATTATAGGCCATTTCATAAGTATGATCTATTCTACGTCACAACATTAAGTACATTCATATTTAAGCAACAAACTGGATTGCATTTTCAGTAAAACCCCATGAAGACGCATTCATATGTTCTCTGCAATTAAATTTTTTCACGAATTTCCATTTCTAACAGGGGGCACATTCATCCATATGTACCCCACAACAACTAGCACGCATGCACACACAACACTTATAGAAACACTTGACTCATGGATTTTTTCCAAGTAAGGCACAAATAGGATCATTTCGTTTCAAATAGGTCTAGCAATCAAATTAACCCAACCCCATCTTTCTCCATGTTCCTGTATCATCTCAGATACATCTCACATCTTCTTAGATCCAGAAACTAATGTATTCTTCTAACAGAAATAATAATACACTCACATAGAACTCTAGTATCCACAAGGTGGTGGTGGAATACCATTTGAGGGATGAAACAATGTTGCACTTCATTGCCCACAGTATCAATCAAACAGTAATGGTGCACAGATGCATACCTGAACCTTGGATGCACCTCAAATCTCGAAGATTGCCCCAATCGAGAAATGGTGCAGCAGCAAACCTTGGATGCACCTCAAATCCCAAAGATTACCCCAATCGAGCAATGGAGCAGCATCAATTTTACAGAAGCAAACCTTGGATGCACCTCAAATCCCGACGATTGCCCCAATCGAGCAGTTTTGCAGCAGCAATGGGGCAACAGCGAGAGGGAGAGATTGAGAGAGGGCAGCAGCAATGGGGCAGCAAAGAGGGAGATTGAGTGAGAGGCGATATAGTTTGGGTGCCCTAATCATCTGAGAAAGGTTTGCAGTAGCAATGGAGCAGCAGCGTGAGAGATTGAGATAGGGCAGCAGCAATGGGGCAGCAAACAGGGAGATTGAATGAGGGGCGAGATAGTTTGGGTTCCCCAATCGTCTGAGAGAGGTTTGCAGCAGCAAAGAGGGAGATTGAGAGAGCGCGAGATAGTTTGGTGGAGAGAGAGAAGGGGAGAAGATGGAGTTTGGGTGGAGAGATCGGCAGCAGTGAGAGATTGAGAAGAGAGAGAGAGTTGCCATCCTCGTGAGAGACAGTAGGAGCGCGAGTGAGGGAGAGAGAGCTGCAATCGTGAGACATCAGGAGAGAGAGTGAGAGGCCTGTCAAGTTTGGGTGGAGAGAGAGGGGAGCGGGGGATGGAGAGAGAGTGGGTGGGGAGAGTGACAGCAGAGGAGAGAGAGAGAGAGAGAGAGAGAAAGGGGTGGAATATGGAGAAGGGAAAGAGACATGCCATCGTGAGAGTCAGGAGAGAGAGAGGGGGGCTTCCTCAGAGTGAAAGACGCGAGCCGTCACGCCCTCTGCAAATGTCAGATGGCAACTGCAGCTTGAGGGAGAGATTGGGTAAGCGTTGGGGACCGCGAGATCTCCATCGAGAAAATAGATCCTAACCGTTGGCATACCGATCCATAAACTTGAGCGTATCGAATTCTTTTGGCAAATTATTTCTAATATACCTATATTTTTTAGAAATTGAAAACAAATTCCAACTTTTCCAAACTTCACCCACACCGTTTTGCTCTATTTTGGTAAAATTTTAAACGAAAATACCTTTTACGGTAGTCGTTGTACCGTAAAAATAATTATAAGTATTTTTAATACCGTAATCTAGATTGGTCAAACGATATAATTAAAATAAAAAAAAAATCATTACGGTACTTTTAGTACTGTAATGGTTTTAAATAACATTACGGTACTAAGAGTACCGTAATGCTCTAAGAGAAAAAAAAAAAATCATTACGGTACTAAGAGTACTGTAATGCTCCAAGATTAGCCAATCAATATAAATAAGGAAAAAAATAAATAAATCATTACCGTACTTTTAGTACCGTAATGGTTTTAAATAATATTATGGTACTAAGAGTACTGTAATACTCTAAGATTGGTCAATCGATATAATTAAGAGAAAAAAAAAAACCATTACGGTACTTTTAGTACCGTAATGGTTTTAAATAACATCATGGTACTAAGCGTACCGTAATGCTCCAAGATAAGCAAAAAAAAAAAACCATTATGGTACTTTAGAACCGTAATGGTTTTAAATAACATTACAGTATTAACAATACCGTAATAGTCCAAGATTAGGATAAATCGATAATTAAGAAAAAAAAACCATTACGATACTTTTAGTACCGTAATGGTCTAAAAAACCATTACAGTACTCTTTAGACCATTATGGTACTCTTTAGACTATTACGGTACTAAGAGTACCGTAATGAGCATTACGGTACTCTTAGAACTGTAATGCTCTTAAAAAACATTACGGTCATAAAAATGACCGTAATTGTTTTTACAGTACGATGACTATCGTAAAAGGCATTTTCGTCTGAAATTTCACAAAAATGGAGCAAAAGGGTGTAGATCAGGCTTTGGGAAGTTGGGGTTTTTTTCCAATTTCTTGAAAATACGGGTATATTAGCGATAATCTACCAATTCTTTTCCATATATATTAATTTTCTTTTCAAATGCTTTGTGGTTGTCACTACGAGTAGGGTTCATCGAGCATTTTTTTATTATTATGGCCTCAATTTTGATCCATTTTATGTAAATTTTGAGGCATCTTGAAGCTATTGATTTTGTCCATATGATCATGAAGTTAATTCGTATGATTAAACTTGATTTCTAGGATCATTTCACAAGATACATATTAATACATTTCAGAGTTTTTTGAGTAATTAATTTTAAATTAATTTGCTTATTAAAATTATGAATTTTAACAAATATATGTTCTTGAGACAAACAATATAATAATACCATTTTTATATTTTCTTGTAATTATATTCAATTCTATGTCATAAATTTATAAATATCATGAGAAAAGAACTTGTATTTTTCAATTATATTGTCATTTTTTTCATGCAATAAAATGTATGTTCATCATAAATACTTCAAGTATTCCTATTCTTATCCTACAATTGCATTTTATATTTTGCTGGAATTATTCTGATTTGGAGCATGATGGCTTATTATTGTATTTTGATTTATGGGAGAAAATTTACTTTTTTATAACTAACTTGGAATGCAAAATTGGAATTATATTGATGTGTGGACACCCAACTTAAAAATTACATGATCTCTCTTTTGCTCCTTGAAGCAAGCACCGGTGGTGAAAGAGTGATTTACAACTTGAAACGGGACTCAACATAAGCCACTTATTGCAATGAGAACATAACTTTTAAATGAAAAAATATATTCTGAGTTTGATGCCCAAAACACGGATGTCCTTTGACTCAAGTGACATTAGTGGGTCACAAAGATATGCATCAACGCCATGACGAGCAAGAATGAAACCGTCTTTCGTTTTGGTATTAAGTTGTTTTTTCATAGTATTATGTTTCATTTAGACTTTGTATACAATATTCACCTATTTTTACAAAGTAATGAGAGCACATAATTCGTCACTCCTAATTTCTTTTAGAAACTAAAAGAATAGTGATTTTTTGAAAAAACATTGAGACAAAACTAATCAATTCGGTCGATTCTCCGATCTGACATAGGCACGGGTGAAGACGATCTGAGTCACTAATCCGGGTTTTTAAACTTTGATTTGATCTATTAGTTTTATGTTAAGTTGAAACCTCCAATGATAGGAGGCAGGCGGAGCTTAGTGATATTCTAGGACTAGGAGAGGCAGGTTGGTGATTTCTCCGTAGTTGAAGGGAACTCTCATAGCTTTTGATATTTTGTTATCTTGATGTAACTGCTAATCATTCTTCCCCCCTCCCCAAAAAATAAATTTTTTTCACCAAAAAAAATATGACCACGAACATTGAAAATACAAAGTCATTCGTGACTCTGATCCGGATGCTAGGCGAAAAATTCGAAATAGAATAAAAAAAAAAAAATGAAGACAAAAGGCGCATAAGCATAATATATACTGAGGGGGATTTTTATCAAGGTGTGGTTTGTATTGAGCCGGCGTTCTAAATAATCAAATTAGAGCCTACCTTCAAATACTATTGAGAAGTATAGTTTCAATACTGGAAAGTATTGTAATAGCCTTAAATTATAATTACATCTTCTTCAAAAATAATGTAGAATGACTAGATCTATGACAACTTGAAAATTGACGGTCTAAAAATACATTACAATATGCACTATTTCCAAAACTTGAAATCTATTTTTTTTCATGTCCATACATCTTGATGTCGATATGATCAATTTAATTATATTTGAGCATAAAAAACAACCTCTTCTAGTGAAAGTTTTGATGCATGCTCTAATTTGATTGTTTAGAGCCTAGGCTCTATATAAACTTTTCCCTTTCTATAATTACATTCTTTGAATGGGATATTCAAGTAAATTTATCAAGAGAAAAGCGCTCAGCACCTCTTGAAAGAAGCCGTATACCAACATTTTGGTGAAAATTGCCTTTCACCAGTTCAAGATTAGAGTGGTGGCTTGTCAAAAGCATGCAAGTAAGCGCTTAGGGCAAGTTGCATACGGTATACCTTGCCTTGCATTCACCATTTCCTGTGCCAAATGAGCAGAATCACATTGAGCTTGCTCAACATCTTATGTGGATCATGGCAGATGGATCCTTCTAGAAACTTAAGTTGATTTGGATGTGATGTAGACAAATTAGGCAGCTATTTAAATTCTAATGTAATGGCAGCGTTATAGTACACATGCAGAATGTGTGTATGAGAGAGAGAGAGCGCTTGAGGCAGTGACTGAAATCTGGTATGAACGCAAAAGTTGTCCAAGGCGATGTAACAGGGGGATGTTCTGCTAATTAGAACAATGCCCGTGGAATCGAGCTTGGGTCAAGACAGTAGAGTCTGGATTTTCATAGCACAGCGTATCAAGTTCCATTCCTATGTAATCTTGTCAAAAAAAAACGAACAATGCCCTCAATTCCCTAATCTGAGAAATCTATAGAATATCTGAATTTTTCCCAAAAGAAAATGACATTTGAAGGAAAATTTGAGGGTAATATTAAACTCCTACTCTTCCATCTGCAACTCCAAAGATAACAAATAAACATGGACTGCCTCCAAAATATTATTTGTATTATATGGATCTCTTGGACTGAACCATTGGGTTTCCTGCACTAATATCCGATAAAAACATAAAGGTATAGTCACATCTGCACTCAGCCAGATAAAAGCAGACAATAACACGAACAGGGTATTCTAGAAGTCACAAATTCTTAAAAGTCGATTCCTGCGCTGGTTTTGTGGGAGTGAGCCTTGCCAAGAGAGCCTTGTTGCGGCAGTGCTCCTCATCAACAAAATAGAAGGACCCATTGGCCCTGAATGTCACAAAAGGTCTTTGAGTCTCTGGTGGCCTGATATCTGCAAATCGAATGGTCCTTGGTATGTGCGTCGCTAGCCATGAGAGCATCTCTACCTCAAAACTGTCAGAACCAGGCTGCCACTTGAGCTTGTGAACATAAGGGCTAACAAACCAATGAAGAGCTGCAGTGGTTGAGGCACTGAGGAATATGACGGAAGAAGCAACTGCCCCTTTGAGGATCACATTCATTTCAGGTGCAGTTAGAAACGTGATTACAGGGCCGAGAGAGACAGATAGGCAGCATGTAGAGAGCGAGAGAAGCTTCACTTTCTTGATGGTTCCTGAGATGGGCCCATAATAGACCACACCTGTGTCATCTTCCACGCCTTCACCTTTGCGGTGGGGTCCTATGCTTATTTTGCTCTCACTTTCTCTAACTGTAGCCATAGTTGCAGCTTGTGAAGTCTGCCATCTCTTGTGAGAAATCTCCACATTCGTAGCTGTGTTGAAAATAGAGTGTCCCCTTCGAATGGCAGAGTAATGTTTCCAGTTCCCATGGCAACAAGAATTGAAGCCTGGAAAAGAAACAAGAGGCGAGATAGAACTTATACTCCAGAACCTCATTCCAGTATTTTCTAGATGGATCATAGTAACAGAGAAAATGATATTTGAGTATGTAATAAGAGATGAAGTTGGGATGCAACTCCTTTGTTAGGTAATTGTGATTTACCTTGGAGCTGTCATGGTGAAACTAAAAACAGACCAACCATTAGTGGGTTGAGGTTCCAAAAAAGAAAAAAGTTCACTTTTCAACTTTTCTCACCACAAACCAAAATAAAAGTTTCTCTTGCATGTTTTGCAATTTGATCAATTCTATTATGAGGTTTATCAATCCCAAGCTGCACGTGTTGCAACTAAGAGAATAAATTTATAAATTCTATTGCTAGGTTTATTTTGCAAGTTCTGCAGTTGATCAATGCTTACGTTATGCACCCTATTACATAAAAACCAATTTATCCCAACTTGTGGAACTCATGAAAAGATGCAAGAACAAACAGCGTTTAAAAACCTTGCAAGTCCAACTCGGGAAAGTCGGACTTGCCCAAACAACTCAAAACTAGCACCCTACTAGGATGCCAGTTCTGTACGATCCAAACTAAGTAATCCAAGCATAGTTGTTGGAAACAGTTCCATGATCAGGGGTGAAATCAATGGATCGAGGCTACCGGACAGCTCCTTATGATAGGGATTGATGTCCGTAAAATATTAAATCCAAGGAACTCGATCCGTGTGTTCCAGGGATCGAGATCCCCAATTACATAGGATCAAGTTCCCCAATTAGATAGAAATAGCATCATAGCCTAGTCACTATGAGCTCCTTATACAGGTTCATATGATATCTTCCACTTTGTATGATTCTATAGCATGTGCACTTGAAGTGTTGCATGCCAATACAACTGGCTATCTGCATATGTTTCATTAAAAAATGATTGAGGCTGGAATTTGATGTCTGTTCAACATTAAATCTAAGGAACTCAATCCCTATGTCCTAGGGATCAAGATCAGAAAATCTAAAAAACTAGAGCCATAGAAGATCCCTTTCCAGGATCTTAGGATAGAGTTCGAATTTCTAAACGGATGGCATACCAAAGTAAGTAATCCCCATCATCCAAGTCTATCCAGGTTTGACGAAACTCTTCTGAATCATTGAATGACCCAATGAACATTGTTAACATTTGCAGTTCTTTAAGACGAGCTTCACAAAGAAAACTCAGGACTCAGCTAGCCAACCCGGCCTGGCCGCCCCCCCTCAGATAAGTACCTGTTTCCGTGATACACATTACAGAAGGAGAAAGTGACAAGGGTAAAGACAAACATCTGGATACTTCTAAAATAAATCTCCACTAACAAAAAAGCACATATCTAAATAACATGGGGCTACAGGGTTGTCCTCTTTCCTTTAGATTGCAAGTGTGGAAGAGGATAGTACAGTACTTCAAAATTTCTTAATGTCCATTGCAGAAAATAGCTCCATGCAAGCATGTACTTGTCATAATGGATCTGGTTTCTTAAACTACTGAAAGGGCAAAAGCGCTACGAGACTTAAATGAAGTCACAAATAATGAGATGCGAGAAACAAAGTGAAATATGATACAAAACACACAACAAAATGACAACTAGAAAAAGAAAAAAGAAGATAACTGGAAACACAAAATAGTGACGGTTAATTACAAAAAAGAAGAAAACCAGAGTAGAAAACCTAAAAAAACAATACTAGGAAAAAAAATCAAAAGGACAATTCAAAGTGGAAAGATGACATAAATGAAAATGGAAAGTAGGCATCATGGAAAGCAATTAATGAATAGAAACAAGGCCGAATAGCTAAATACAAATGAAATAAATAAAAAAATGAAATAAAAAAGATGAAATATGCGGGAGAAGGATTAAAAACAAAATGACAAGAAAAGCACGCTTTATAATGAAAAAACTAAAACAAGAAAACTGTTGCAGAATTTCTACCAATATTTTAGGATACTGGTCAAAGATTCAGCCCAGAAATCAGCATAATTCACAGCAAATATTCACTGTCCACTAAAAAAACGCACACATCTTAATCCCCAGACAAGAGTATTTTCTTCTATTGCTAGGTGATAGTGTTCATTACCTTACTACATAGTTTGGATGTTTTGTTGCTAATCTGTAATCTTCTTATGTATGATCAATTTTTTTTAATTCAAAGTGAACATTTTACAAATAAAGAATACCCAATAGAAAAAGTATAAGTTTGTGCTGGATTCATATTTCTTTTCTGAGTAACTTGAAACTTTGTATTATGTACTGTAAATACCGATAGACATGGCTACATAAACTGGCAACAGACAAACCAGATGCTCAATAACAAAGTGACTAAAACCACCAAAAAGGGGGGAAAGAGGGGAAAGGTAGGGAACCCCCACATGAACAACTCTCAAGAAACTGCCAACTGATCAAAAACATTGTTCCTGCAGCCCTTCTTAGGCTAATGGATCAGTGATTACATTATGCTCGTGCTAGATGTGCTTGAAAGTTACACGTAGGGGCCCAGATATATTTTATCAAAAATAGGCCAAAGTCCCCAAGGAAACTGAGTGGACCTTTGAGGGCCACAATCTCACATTTTGAGCGCCCTTCATTAGAGTGTTTCCTAGTTCTGAACTTCCGATCAAATCGCTCTATCCCTTTGAGAAGGGCAAGACCACAAGAGCTTCTCCCATTGCAGAGCTAACAATGCCTATGCCCCCTGTAAAAGTCAGCAGGATCTCACCCTGGTGTAGGGCTGACCAAAGCTTGATAGTGACTAGGCAATGGGCAAATAGGAAATCTTTGGTTTGGTCTGATTCCTTCCACATGTTACAACGATTCGTGATCTAGATCCCTCTTCTTTGGAGCTGGTCGATTGTAAGTGCTCTCCTACAGAGCAGGAGCCAGTTGAACGCCTGGATTTTGGGTGGGATAGGTAAAAGCCAGGCCTTGTTCACAATGGATGGGCAGGTGGGAATAGGACACTGTGGTAAATAGAGGACATTGAGCATCGACTAGAGTTTGCCCAAGTACAAACCAACTGAGGCAGACATACCAAATGAAGCAAGTCTATGAGGGTAGTCAGATCAGGGATCTCGATATCTAGCAAAGCCCTCCTGAAAGTAGGGGTTCAGACTCTATTACACCCTAAAACTTCATGTGATTGTGTGACCCTGACATTTGGTCTCTGGCTAACAGAGAGTCTTAGGGAGTGCTCTTCTGAAGTGCAATCTCTAAACCACAGATCCCTCCAATACCTCACTCTTTATCTCCTCTTCTAATCCTGAATGAACATGCTTCCTGAAACTTTGGTAGCTCAAAACCAATCTTTCCCATGCTCTGGAGGCCCAAGCATCCGCAACGCCCTTGGAAAACCACTCGGTCTCATTGAGGCCGCACTATTGATGGGCGCCTGTCTATCACAACTGCCAATTTTGTGTATGACCACGTCACCAATGCTTCCCAAAAAGTGCAACACTGCAATTCCTGAGATTCTGAATACCGACCCCTCGTCCCATGCTGTATAGACATGTGTATGTGTGTTAGTGTCTGCACAGTATGGGGTGTTGGATTCCACATGCCATGAAGAAGAGCATTCTATGACATGGCATTATTATGAAAAGACAACCAAATTCAACTATACTTTACTAGTACCCAGTTTCATGATGAGGAGCAAGAGATAATCAAAGTAGATAGTTTGAAAGTTTTGCAGACATTTTCCAAAACTTTCATGTCTGCTCAAAACAAAAAAGAAGATCATCTCTAAAAATGATGCAATCAATGGTTGATAAACAACAAGAAGAATCCCAAAGATTCTGCATCAGTACCTATGTTAATACATCTTCAACACAGGTATGGCACCAAACAGAAGAATCCATGTAACATAGGCCCCCTCTCTTTTTTGGATTTCACACCTTCTCCCAAGACATCAAATGAAATTTGCGCCGGTGCTCCATCATGGAACAAAAGGAACTCCTTCATCAGTCTAGCGAGTTAAGAGATGATAGACACAGGCATATGAAATAGAGAAATCTAGAAAAATGGTACGTTAACAGAGCTGCTTTGATGAGGGCGATATCCTCCCTCAAAGATAGGAAATTTCCTATCCAGGCTGCCAGCCTGCATTCAACTATCTCTACAATATCATCCCAAAGTTGTTTTCTCGGTTCACCTAGGCCGAGGAGGAAATCTAGCAACTAGAAGGCAACGAGTCTACCGCACAGCCCAGTCATTTAGCCAGCTAGTATTTGGTGCTCCACTCCTATTCCTGTGAGCTTGGTCTTAGTCAAATTGAATCCCATACCTACAGACAATTCAAAGCACATTGAGAAGAGCCACAAAGTATCAACCTGTTGGGTATTTTGTTGCAGAAGATCAAAGTGTCATCCACATAGTGCAGATATGAAATTCCCGGCCTCCCCCTTGAGGACTTAAAGCAGCTGAGAAGACCTTGTTGAAACATCCGAGAATTGAGCAATTGAAGACTTCCAGCCACAATTGGAAACAAGAATGGGGAGAGGGAGTCTCCCTGTCTCAGCGTTCGAGCTACTAAATTCAGATTTCTATGTGCTCTATTAGTAAACTTTGCACTTCATAGATGAAGTATTAAGCAACTTTTAAAAGGTCTCTGATGTTTCAAGAAATCCTAGAAAAAGAACAAAGAAAGAATTTTCACTAAAGAAAATGTTAAAAAATGACTAGTTGTAAAAGTCAGAAGTTTGCATATAAAACCATTAAGAAGTGTTAATTCAACCATCTAGGAGGTAGCACAACTACAATTCTTCGGTTTCACAAGCACCCTAGACACCCTTCACATGCCTTAATTTTGTAAGCTGCAAATCATGAGATATTTGTGACTACCTACTGGAATCCAAATCAGTCAAGAACCTGCAGTTTGGGTAAATCCTTTAGGATAGTTCACTGTATTTTCTCTGGACTTGTTAAAGAATCATTAAGCAAGAAAACCATATTTATAGAAGTACAAAAATTTTCTCGTTTCTTTTTTTGTTTTACC